GTTCTTTTACCCCATTTTTGAATCCATTTAATCCCCTGAATGCATTTAAAGCATTTAATTCATTTAAATGCGTTTAAATGGATCTAAAAAGGGACAAAAACTTCGAAAAAAGATTCCAAATGTCTTTTTTCAGATACCCGGAAGCAAAAATTGCAGAAATGCGCAGCGGCGGCCCTTTCCCTTTTCTTGCTGCAGCAGATGAGGTGTCTATGCACCTCGAGCTGCACCTGCGCCGCTGCGGGGCTGCGCCGTGGCTGCATGCGCATGCATGCAAAAGCAGCAGCAGCAGCAGCAGCAGCAGCAGCAGCAGCAGCAGCAGCGGCGGCGGCGGCGGTGGAGGCGGCAGCAGCAGCAGCCACGGCTGCTGCGGAAGCAGCGACGGAGGCGCAGCGTCGGGCGCCGGGGGAGGGACCCAGCAGCAGCAGCAGCAGCAGCAGCAGCAGCAGCAGCAGCTGCAGCAGCAGCAGGTTTTTGGCAGCAGCAGCAGTCTGCAGGGACACGGGACGGGCCCGCGGCGGCTGCTAGGGGACCCCTTGTCTGCTGCTGCTGTTGTTGCTGCTGCTGACAGCAGCAGCAGCTGCTGCCTGCTGCAGCCACAAAGCCTGCGGCAGCTGCATGCGCATGCACATGACCCGCTGCTGCAGCAGCAGCCAGAAAGTGCTGCTGCAGCGACGGAGCAGGCAGCAGCCAGCAGCAGCAGCAGCAGCAGCAGCAGCAGCAGCAGCAGTTCCGAGTGCTGCGACGGCAGCAGCAGCAGCAGCAGCAGCAGCAGCAACTTGCAGCCCAGCTAAATCAACAAGCGGCGCCTCAAGCTCAGGAAAGTCCCCTGCATGCATGCGTGCATGCATGCATGCATGCATGCCTGCATGCATGCATGCGAAAGCCCCAAAAAGGGTGCTTGGACAAAAGTCCGAAAACGCATGCATGCATGCATGCATGCATGCGCAGAAGCCCCAGGAATATACACGCATGCATGCCTTCATGCATGCATGCATGCATGCATGCACAGATACATGGGTAAAAGCCCCAAACGCATGCATGCATGCGTGCGTGCATGCATGCATGCATGCATGCATGCATGCATGCGTTTGGGGCTTTTGCGTGTTTGTCAGCTGCATGCAGCTTCGCTGCGGGAAAGGGGCAGCGAAGAAAAGAGACTTTTGAGTTTCTGTTATTGCGGGGACAGTTTTCTTTTTATTTTTTGTTCTTTGTTTGCTGCTTTTGGTTCTTTTATTTTGGAGTTTTTTATTCATTTGATCTTTTTGCTGCTGCTGCTGCTGCTTCTTCCTTGTCTTCTGCTGCTGCTGCTGCTGCTGGTCGCTTTGTCTTTTCTTGCTGCTGCTGCTGCTGCTGTCTTTGTCTCTTTGCTGCTGCTGCTGCTGGTCTCCTTGACCCCTTTTTGCTGCCACTTCTTTCGCCGTGCTGCTGCTGGCGCGCGCTACTAGCTAGCTAGCTAACAAGCTAGCTAGCTGGCTAGCTAGCTAGCTAACTAGCTAGCTAGCTGGCTAGCTAGCTAGCTAGCTAGCTAGCTAGCTAGCTAACTAGCTAGCTAACTTATGTGCCTGGGGGGTTCTTAGCCGGTGGGCTAGTTGGCTGGCTAGCTAGCTATTTGGCTACCTGGGAGCTGTTACTTACACTACCAGGCTAGCTAGCTAGCCAGTCAACTAGCCAGCCAGCTAGCCAACCACTCAGCTAGCTAGGTGCGTAGTCCGCTAGCTGGCTTATCCACAGTTTAAATGGCTAGCCAGCTAGCTAGCCGTCTAGCCAGCTAGCCAACTACTTAACTAACTGCCTACGGCCCCGACGCAACGCCAGCTAGCTAGCTAGCCAGCTAGCTAGCTGGGGCGCATGCAGCCCCGGAAGGCGCTAAAAAGAAATAATTGAATTCGGACTCTTGGCCTGAGTTGAGGCGAAGAAGAGACGGGAGGAAGGAGGTGTCTAGACACCTCGTGGGGTGTCTAGGCAGCTCGTCGGGTGTCTAGGCACCTCGTGGGGTGTCTAGGCAGCTCGTGGGGTGTCTAGACACCTGAATTTCTGGCGGAAGTTTTGTGGGGCGGCGCACTTGTGTTTGCATTTGATTTAATAATTGTTTTATTTGCATTTGGAATTATAAATGAATAAATATATTTAATTTAATTGCAAATGTTGACACAAATGCAGGAGCTTTCCAGCGCGATATTCGCGCGTTTAATTGAAGTGCCCTTCATCGTTTATTATTTCCCATTTGTTCTTTATTTATTTCCCATTTATTCACTTGTTTATTTGTTTATTTATTCATTTATTTATTCATTTATTTATTTATTTATTTGTTTATTTATTCATTTATTCATTTATTTACACTTTTGCATAAATGCCTTTTTCTCCCGCCGCCCCCGCGTGCGCAGCTCCCAGGTGTCTGTACACCCGAGAGCTGCATGCAAATTTCTTGACCAAATACTGGAAAGTAAATATATAAATAAATGCATTTATTTATTTATATATAAGTACAAAATAAAGGCCTAAATATAATATATAATAAGATGCAATTCTGGGAATAAATTTACATCTTGTACAAACATAAATATGCATGCATGCATGCATGCATGCGTGCATGCATGCATGCATGCATGCATGCATGCATGCAGAGTCTATACAAGTGCATGCACTTCGATATATACTGCATGCAGAATCCATTTCAATATAAGATGAGCAATGCATACAGAATCTAACGTAGGATATATGCGCATAAATAAAAACAAATAAGTCCGTGCTGCTGCTGCTGCTACTGCTGCTGCTGCTGCTGCTGCTGCTGCATTCTCGCCGTGGCACTGCTGCCCTTTGAAGGCAATTTCACCGCTACGACACTCACAAGGAGCTCAACTTCTATAAATGCATTTATTTATTTTCAATTCATATTTATATTTATATTTGCATGAATATAAATATCTATTTATAATTAATACTTATTTGTTAGCCTTTTAGCGGCTGGCAGCCCTCCTCAACAAAACCCAAAAAGAAACCAACACCACCGAGACACTTCAGTCCACAGAACCACCACCCTGCATGCAAGCAGCAGCGAACTGCTGCTGCTGCTGCTGCTGCTGCTGCTGCAGCTGCTGCTGCAGCTGCTGCTGCAGCTGCTGCTGCTGCAGCAGCTGCTGCTGCTGATAGAGTCGGCTCGGGCACGGAACAGCACCTACGAGGCCCCTGGGGGCCTCTGCGGCCCTGGGGCCTGTGCTGGGGTGTACGTACACCTCAAGTGTGGGGCCCCACGCCCGTGGGGCCCCACAACTCACAAGAAAGGCAACTGCATGCAAAGCTGCAAGTGCCGGAGAAAGCATAGTTGGGACAAGTCCCTTTTTGGATTAAAGTACAAATAAATCCATTTAAGAAACACTTTGCATGCAAACGCATGCAGCCCCACAGACACGCAGCAAGGGCCTGTACGTACACCCCAGCGCACAAACACCACTACACAACAACTCTACACCTGCACCGCCTGCATGCATGCATTTGCATTTATTTATTTATTTATTATTATTTATTTATTTATTTATTTATTTATTTATTTATTATTTAGTTGTTTGTTTGTTTTGCATTTATATTTCTTCTTTCCTGAAAGGCATTTAAGTGTGTCTAAGCTGCGGCGTTTATCTGTGCAGACGCGCTAAGTATTTGCATTTGCATTTCGAATATAATTAATTAATTAATTAATTAAATTAATTAAATTAATCAAATTAATTAATTAAATTAATTAATTAAATTAATTAATTACATTAGTTAAACTAATTCAACCAATTAATTAATAAATTAATCAATTAATTAATTAGTTGGTGTGCATCTGCTGGCGAGCAAATGGACTTGTGCGGAAATGTGAAAATAAATGCAAAAGAAAATAAAAATAAAATTAACTTTTCACATTTGCAACAAATTAAATATAAATGCAAGAGCAGCTGCATGCAGGTGTACGTACACCGCGTCGCAGCCCAGGTGTACGTACACCTGAGCACCACACGTAACAAAAAGCACCTCGAGAAGGAAGTGAAGAGAAATCATTTTATTTATTTTAATTTATTTATTTTATTTCTTTCGAACTTTTATTTGCACAAGATGTGCCGCAGGCCACGGACTCCCCACAAACAGGCCAGTGCATGCAAAGCCCCACACCACACAATATGTCTTTTGATTTATTTATTTCTTTTGAACTTTAAATAAATTAACATATTATATTTGTAAAGGGCCCTGCATGCACGGACAAGCATCCAGGCGCATGCACTCGCAGCCCCGCGGGCCCCCGCTGCTGCTGCTGCTGCAGCAGCAGCAGCAGCAGCAGCAGCAGCAGCGCGGGTGGAGGCTGAGCACAGACAAACAAACAAACAAACGAAGCAGCAGCAGGGGGTATATACACCTGAAAGTCGGTTTTGCTGCATGCGTTGCTCCAGCGGTAGCTGCATGCGCTTTTGCAGTGTCTCCTTTGGCCTTGGCAGCAGCAGCAGCAGCAGCACGTGCTGCTGCTGCTGCTGCCTCTCCCAGCTGTACGTACAGCGCAGGCTGGGCGGCGCTCGTCTCGTCGGGGTGTCTGGACAGCTCAGAGGTCTGCGGAGGACAGTTTCTGTCTCCTGCGTTTGTGGGGCGGGGCCCCTCCCGCGTGCTGCTGCTGCTGCTGCTGCTGCTGCTGCTGCTGCTGCTGCTGCTGCTGCGGGAGTTCCGCGAGGGTTTGTTCGGGGGCCGCTGCTGCTTCTGCTGCAGCCCACTTTTGGCTGTCTTTGTCTTTGTCGCGTTGCGCGTGTCGCTGCTGCAGCAGCTGCTGCTGCGCGTCCTGCTGCCCGCGTTGCTGGAGCTGCTGCTGCTGCTGCTGCAGCCGCAGCTGCTGCTGCTGCTGCTGCTGCTCCTTGTCCGCCGCCTGCGCCTCCTTCGCCTGCATCGCCTGCGCCGCCCCTGCGCAGACCGCGAGCCCCTGAAACGGCGGCGAGCCCCCCCCCCCCCCCCCCGCCGCTGCCGCAGCAGGCCCCGCCGCTGCA